TGCTCCATACTGCTAAAGGGGGGAGGGAGTGTCTCAGGAGACACCTCGTCTGGACCTCCTGCAAGGACAGGCCACTTTGCTCCGCTCCTTCCTTTGGGCCCACAGGCTACTGCTCTCCTCTCTGACAGCCTCGGGGAATAGACAAGTCAGTACCGGATGTCCAGTTCCTGAGTGCAGGCAGGGACAGAGGTGCAGCGTTGTCCGGGGCAACGCCAGGCTGGGCCCCTTGTGGGTGGAGATCTGCTTTGTGCTGACAAGTTGGCCCCTGTCAGGCATTGCACAGAGAAGAGGCAAATGCAGCTGCTTGTTGCCATGACCACCATTCACAGAACACACTGCTCTGGGGCTTTGCCTTCCTCTTCCTCAGCCTCCTTTTGGGTTGCTTTTGAGTCATCAACAGCCGGAGATCATGTACCCAGGAGGTGGAGATTTTTGAACCTGGGAGTCCCAGGCTTTGGTGGGTGAACATAATTTTTCACAAATGTCCCCAGAGTCTGCTAAGAGCCAAAGTGTCCGTGCCCATAGGGCAGCCTGGTGGGCTCCCATGCAACCCAGCCGTGGAGCTTTCTCCAGAGACAGACTTAGCCAAGCTCTTGGAGGCCTGAGGAAACTGGGGGGTGTCGGCATGCTTCAGTCCGTCAGAGGTTCCACACCAAAAAGATTACCATGCCTGGGGAGAGGGCAGGCACAGCTTTCCCATGGCTTTGCAGGAAATCTCCATGGTACACAGGAGTCAGGAGGGCAGTGAGCAATTCCCAAGGACGAATGTGCGCTTTTCCTGGTCGGGAGCTATGAATGGGATAGGGAGGGGTTAGAGTATCTCTGGGGTGGGGGCTAATGCTGTAGGGGTCTTAGCTCCTTTACTGAGCCACCTGGAAGAAGTGATTTATAATATGAAAAAATGTATTTTGGGAAAATGAGAGTTAAACAGATGGAGTGTGTGAGAAGGCTTCAGAAAGTTCATACAAATGTGCCTTTCCTCCCTTTTCCCCTCCACCTTTCTGAAGCTCCCTTGAAGAGGTTTGTTGGCCTTGGTGTCCACTTCCTCGCTCACTGTCGGCATTTTGGTACCCTGCTTGCCGTGGTAGCAGCTAAGTGGTCTCACCCATTCTGCACATCACAGTTGGGAGCCCTCGATGGCCCCTTCCCTTAGCCCCATATGCACTGTTCCATTCAAGTCACAAAAATGAGCATATGGTACTTCTCATACTTGCTGTGTTTACTTACTGATGAATTGTCAAAATCACCGTGCAAGCAGGTCCTTTTTTAAGATTTATTTTATTTTTATTGGAAAGTCAGATATATAGAGAGGAGGAGAGACAGAGAGGAAGATCTTCCTCCAATGATTCACTCCCCAAGTGGCCGTAACGGCCAGAGCTGAGCTGATCTGAAGCCAGGAGCCAGGAGCTTCTTCTGGTTCTTCTTTGTGGGTGCAGGGTCCCAAAGCTTTGGGCCGTCCTCGACTGCTTTCTCGGGCTGCAAGTAGGAAGCTGGATGGGAAATGGAGCAGCTGGGATTAGAAGCAGCGCCTATGGGAGATCCAGCACATGCAAGGCAAGGACTTTAGCCACTAGGCTACCACACCTGGCCCAAGATTATTAAGCTTTGAAACTTTTTCTTTACTTTATTTTTATTTGAAAGGCAGAGTTAGAGAAAAAGAGAGAGCGATATTTTACGTCTGCTAATTCATTCCCCAGAGGGCTGCAACAGCTAGAGTGTGGCTGATTAGAAGCCAGGATACTTATCCAGTTCTCCTATGTGGATGCAGGAGCCCAAGGGCTTAAACCATCCCCCCCTGCTTTCCCAGACTCATTAGCAGGCAGTTTGATTGGAAGTGGAGTAGCTGGGACTCAAACTGGCACTCATATAGGATGCCAGCACTGCAGGTGTAGGTCCAGCTTGCTGTACTATGGCACTGGTCCCAATTATTATGCATTTAATACAAACTCAGAAATGGATGTTCAGTGATGTATAAAGCTTAAGATGACAATGTTATCTTTGAACGACATGATTATCATTATAACTATTTTTGAAGATATATTTATTTGGCAGGCAGAGTTACAGGGGGAGAGAGAGAAATCTTTTATCCACTTGTTCACTCCCTAGACGATCACAATGGCGAGGGATAAGCCTTGAGCTAAAAGCTTCATCCAGATCTCCCACCTGGTGCAGGCACCCAAACACTTGGGCATCTTCTGATACCCTCCCAGGCCATTAACAGGGAGCTAGATTGGAAGTGGAGCAGCCAGGACCAGAACCATTGCCCAAATGGGATGCTGGCATAGCAGGCGATGGTTTAACCCACTATGACACAATACTGACTCTTGTAACTAGTTTTTCTAATAGATCATTCCATGAATTCTGAGCGCTACAATCTACAGCCTAGTCTAAAAATCACACGGTATTATGAAAAAAGATGCATTTAAAAATATTTTATTTATTTGAAGGACAGAATGAAGAGTGTCTGAGAGAGAAATATCAGTCTTCAGTTCACGGTTCACTTCCCTAATAATTACAGTAGCCATGACTGGCCCAGCTGAAGCCTGGAGCCTAGAACTCCATGGTCCCTCTGTCTTCAAGGTTGGCAGTGGCCAGTGGAGTCCTTTTGACATGCAGGTGGCATCTCTGATGCTGGCTATTCCTCTGGGTCCCTGATAGATGATGCTGTCACTCAGGATAATCTCCCTATCTTCAGATGGGCCAGTTGGCAACCTGAACTTCCTCTTGCTGTATAACCCAGTACACCTGCAGGTGCCAAGCAGATGTGGACGTATTGAGGTGGAGCACTGTTTTACCTGCCAGGGAAGTAATAGCTATTTGTATTCTTTTGTTCCATTCAAAGTTTAGAAATAGTGTTCTCTTTTAGTCTAAAGTTTTTCAACTATGGGTAAACTGCCTTTTCTATGTAAAGAGGCAAAATAATTTTTACTGGATTACCTTTCTGAAAAATGAAACAAAAATCAATACTATTTGAGAGACAGAGAGTGAACCTCAATCTGCTGGTTCAACTCCCCAGATTCCCCAAGCAGCTTGCACTGGGCCAGGCCAAAGCCAGGAGATGGGAATTCAATCAGAACCATCACTGCAGCCTCCTGGGGTGGACATTAACAGGAAGCTAGAACCAGGAGCTGAGACTTGACCCCAGGCGCTCCGATGGGGGACTGGTGTTCCAGCCAGCATCTTAGCCCTGAGGCTGCACACAGCCTCCTCGGGCTGCCAGTCCTTAGTGAGTTTCTTAGTGAGAAACTTTGTCTGTCTTGCATCCCTTGTGCCCCGGACCAAGGCGACTCCAAACCTTTCAACCTCTCCCATCTCCCAAACATCAGCCCTCCTGCTCTAGTCTCTTGCTGTTTGTTTTGGATGAGATGCCAGGAAGCCTCTGGCTGCACTGCAGAGTGACTCTGTCTGCACGGAGACGAGAAGCCACTTTTGGCATCCTCAGGATCCAATCAGCCGAGATGGGAAATATTCCAAGAAAAATGGCATTTTTACTCAACTGTACAGGCTTCTGCTGCTCCTTGCTATTCCTTAAACAATACAGCACAGTTGTGTTGCTTTTCACATAGTGGTAGTTATTACAAGCAATCTAGGGATCATTACTATATAGGCAGCTGAGCACAGATGATATACACATGCTATGCCCCAGTTATGAGGGACTTGGTGTCTGTGGGCATCCTGAGAGTGATCCTCGGGGATACTGGGGGATGGATGCACCTTGCAGCCTCCTGGATTTCTCTGGCCAGGAGGAGGCCCTGGGGTCCAGCAGACCGTTGTCCTGTCCCAGCTTTAGCTCCTTTACCTGGGCTACCTTGCACTCCTCTTGGAGCCAGAGCTTGTTTGCCTGTAACACAGTTAATGTTGTGCCGGTTTTTGAAACCCCCAGATAATCATCAAGTCTGAAGTCGGTGCTGAGGCAAAAAGGTGGTTTATTCAGGTTAGCCTAGGTAACCCAGCGGCCTCCCCCAGCCCAGCATGGCTGGGCGGGGGAGGGGCAGCCGCAGCCGAGGCTGCAAGGATCCCACAAGGAGGACAAAAAAAACGCGAGCCAGAAGCCAAGGGAAGCCCGAGAGCCCAAGCCCCCCAGTTCTTATACATTTTAGGCTATTAATTATACAGTCATGACTTAGCAGGCTTCTATTGGTGGGTTTGAAACAAGCAACTTTCAAAAAGTACAAATTGATAAGCTATTGGGCTGTGAATCTTATCAAACACCAGGTACCTCCTTCCTGAGGAGTGGTCTGCTCATTAACACTGCATTCCGGACAGCTTAGGTGTGCTGGGTAAGTCAGGAATCAAAGCTTGGAGGGCTATTCTTGCTGAGCTGCAGGTAGAGCCACGGGAGGCGGACTGGTGCAGCCACTGGCCCCGGGGAGCACTTTTAGGTCATTTCTTAGCATGTTAGGCGATGGGATCTCCTTCGACATTTTTTGGGAAAATACCATAAGGGCTGCAGTGCGTTTCAATTATTCTTAGACTTTGTTTTTTCTAAAGCTCCAAATGTGTACAGAGCCTGGTATTTGGTGATGACGTGTTCACCAAAAAACATAGGCATCATCATTTGGGCTTGCTTCTGTCCCTGCTGGCACAGCTGCCTTAGTCTCTGGGCAGTAGGCCTGGCCTCTGCCCCTCTCGCAGGCAGCCCTCCCCTCCTTGCTACTGGGCCTGGCCTCAGACCCTTTCCTAGACAGTCACACAGGGCCTTTGTGTTAACTCACACATGTGCTCCCCTCTCCACTCATGGGTATGCAGGGTAGGGAAGGCTGTCCAGAAACGCAGCTGTACAGGTGGGGCAGGGGACCCTGCAGACTCAGGGTGGGGTGTGGGAAGTGCAGGGGGCTCCTCAGGAGAGGCTGGGATGGAGCCAGCCAAGAGCAGTGTGTGGGGCAAGGCTCCTGTCTACAGACAGACATCTTTTGGGTGAGGGGGAGACGGCCTGGGGCTCACCCCGACTTCTACCCCTGTGGACCTACTTCTTTGTTTCATTGCCTTTCCTTTCCCAGGAGTGCATCATTGATGAGGACTGTGGACCTACTCGGTACTGCCAGTTTGCTAGCTTCCAGTACACCTGCCAGCCATGCCGGGAGCAGCAGATGGTGAGGGTGCCCTGAGGGCCTCTGGGGCTGCAGCACCAGGGTTCAGGGGACCCTAGGGGGATGGCTGGGGGTGCTAGGAGTTCTCACCTGGGCTTCATGGAAAAGAATACCCAATGTGGCTGATCAGGAAGCTACTAGCCTGGCAGGGCAGCTGTCAGTACGGAATCGCTGGTCACATGTCAGCTTCATGGAAGGCAGGCTAGAGGAGGGAGTGAGTGAGAAGGACTCGACCCCTCTCTCTTTCTTGGGGACCTCCATCCTAGTAGACACAAGCAAGTACCACCTGCAGGGCAGAGGGTGCCTAGCCCCTAGCTGTTCACCCATGTGCCTGATGAGAGAGGTCAGGGGGAGGGCGGAAATGGACACAGCATGACCCCTCTCCTTCCTCCCTCTCCCTACGCCGGCCTTGTTCCCTGTAGCTCTGCACCCGGAACAGTGAGTGCTGTGGAGACCAGCTGTGCGTTTGGGGTCACTGTATGCAAGCAGCCGACAGAGGCAGCAATGGCACCATCTGTGACAACCAGAGGGACTGCCAGTCCGGCCTGTGCTGTGCCTTCCAGAAAGGTGGGTGGGTAGCCTGCCAAGATGCTGGGGAAGCCCTGTCCCCAGTCGGTGCCAAGCACACCTGTCGGGGCCCACTCCTGCACCCGGAGTCCCAGCCCCAGCACATCTGCCTGTGGTGGAAGGTGTTCTGTGTTGTGCCCTGTTGGTGCCTGGAAGAGTTCAGGCCCCTGGCTGAGGAATGCTGGGGTGACAGGAGCATCCAGGAGGGAATGGCTGGGCTTCCAGCAGCTCTTCCTCTCTCCCACAGCCCTCGTTCTCCAGGGTGTCAGCCCTTTGTCCTGGGTGTCAGTACCCAGCTTTACACATCCCTTCTCCTCCTGCCCCAGCTCTGCCCCACCATTGCCTGCCCAGTCTCAGGCTCGCTGGCCTCTGGGAATGCCTCCCCTTACCCTAGCAAGCCTTCCCCGGGCCTGCTGCTCCCGTGCTGAGGCCCACAGACCTTCCTGCTATCTCCTACCTTGAGTCTGACTCATGTGGTTTCATATAGCTCCAATTCACTATTCCTCCTTCCCCTCCATGCCTCCCCCACTTGGCCATCTCACTGGCCCAACTTTCCTCACTGAGTCCCACCCCAAGCCTCTGTTGGCTCGTGCTGTCCTCTGGCTGCAAATGACTTTGTCCCTCCAAGTTCAGCACAGCCAGCCTCTTCTGGGTAGTCCTCCTGGGTGGTTCCCTCCTTGATCCCATGCCATCAGTCCTGTTTCTATCCTCTATTGTGGGGTGGCAGCTGGAAGGCGGGAGGCTGTACCTCTTTTCCACTTGCTGATTCTGGATGGTTCTAGGCCTGCTGTTCCCTGTGTGCACACCCCTGCCTGTGGAGGGTGAGCTTTGCCACGACCCTGCCAGCCGGCTTCTGGACCTCATCACGTGGGAGCTGGAGCCTGATGGAGCCTTGGACCGGTGCCCATGTGCCAGTGGCCTCCTCTGCCAGCCCCACAGGTGAGGGTGCCCTGTCCTCTGTGTCTGAGGGCCAGCAGTGGGTGAGGGGATGCAGGAGCGGGTTTTGTCTGGGATGAGAGATGTGGGTCAAGTTTTGGGTAGGTTGGATTTCAGAAGTTCTCAGGGGGGGCTCCAGGGGCAGGAAGGTCTACAGTCATGGGGTCTGGATTTGGGGCTCACCCTGGCAGCGAGGGAGGGGGAGATTCCTTAGTGAGGGGGCACCCAGGGAAGGGGGATTCTGGGCCCATGACAACACAACAGTCAGAGAAGGCACCGGCAGAGCAGTAGGGAGAAGACTGTGTAGCCTGCACTGCAGGAAGTGGCCGAGGACCCCCCACATCTGGGCTGATACCACTAGCTTCTGTCTCGCTTCCTGTCCTGGAAGAATTCATTGCAGCTGGCCAGAGGCCTCTCCCAGTCCATAGAGGCTTGGGGCTCCCCTGTGTGCAGCAGTCAGCGTTAGGCTGTGCCCCACTGGTACTCACTGGGCAGGAGGTTGCGAGTTTCTGGGATTTCCACCCTAGAGCATCAGTCCCAAGAAGAGGCAGCTAGAAAGAAGGGCAGCTGCTCGAGGAGCCCACCCAGTGACCCCCTCAGCTGCCTGTGTAGGGTGAGAAGTTGGCACCAGGAGATGCCTGTTGATGGGACATAGAGGGTAATATCTCCGGGACAGGCAGGGGCACTGCTGTGTTTGTATGAGGGAGACCTGATCCTTGGCTGAGCCATAATCCATCCATCCACAGCCACAGCCTGGTGTATGTGTGCAAGCCTGCTTTTGGTGGGAGCCAGGAACACACCGGGGAGAGCCTGCCACCCAAGGCGGTACTCAGCGATGAATATGAGGACGGCAGCTTCGTGGAGGGGGTGCAACGGGAGCTGGAGGACCTGGAGAGGAGCCTGACTGGGGAGATGGTGCTCCAGGAACCAGTGGCCGAGTTGCTGGGTGGAGGAGAGATTTAGGTGCGGACCACCCCATGTCTACGTGCCACAGAAATCGCTAATTTATTTCACCAGGCGTGTTCCCTAGGTGTGGGCTTTCCCTCCCCATTCCCTGCCTGTAGCTTGACCAAATGCAATGCACCATGCGTTTGGTCCACACTGGCCCTCAGGGTTCCTGTTTAAAGGGAGGTGCTGGTGCCAAGTCCCAAGGCAGGGGTGGGGGACAAGGCAGCAGCTGCCCGAGCTGGGTTTGCCTTGCCTTGCTTCACCAACGTCAGCCTGCTGAGTGAGCGTCCTTGTAGCTCTTTTGCCAGCCCAGGCCAACCACACCTGATGCTGCTGCAGTCTGCCTCTATCCTGTCGGCGCCTACCTCTCATTCTGTTCCCAGCCCGCTGGGGACCCACTCTCCCTGCAGCCTGGGGAGGGGACTCTGTTCTTCTTCGCAGGAATCTTGCAGGCTCAGAGACTCTATGACTGGCCCATGCCACACAGCTAATGAAAACTCCCCCAGCTTTTCCCTAGGGTGAATCCAGGCTCCAGCTCTCCCTGCTCCCACAGGAGTCTCAGTGCCCCTAAGAACACGCCTCCCTATCCTGCCTTTCAAGGCATACCTGGAATTAACAGCACTCTGTTTTCCCACAACTCTCTCAGACTGAGCACCTACTGTTAGGAATAGCTGTGCTGTCACATTCCCCAGTGGAGACAAAGCGACAGATGTGGACACTGTCTCCTGCGGCAGCTGTTCTGGTCACGTTTGGAGGTAGTATCTGCAGAGATAGCTGTTAGCTCATGGCAGGGCCAGTATTGCAAACAGGGAATCTGCCACATCTTAGCAAGCAATGGAAAACCATTATCAGCACAGGGAGAGCCAGCCAGGCACTGTGAAATATGGCTGTCATATCTCAACCGAGACCGCCAGACTGGATGCCGTGCCACACACTCCCTTGGCAGGTGCCAGGGACTGTTTCCACCATGTCTTCCTCCAGAATTATTACATTCTAAAGTTGCACACAACTGTAAAAGCATGCTTTCTTTGACTTCTCACTTCTGTATGAACACGTTGCATTTTAGAAATCATGCATAAATCACTTCAATTACTCTTTGGCTCCATTTTTGTTTCCCCTTTGACTTTGAAAAAAAGGAACTCTTTCAGCCAGAAATATAAAGTAGAAATGACCTGTGTTATTTAAAAATATATATCTCTTCCATAGAAGCAAATTTTCCAGACAATTGAAGCACATCTCTTAGCCTCAATACATTTTAGAAAAGGTATTATTTCAATTGTCTGGAAAACTGGCTTTATCTGTACTCCATTTATTTACTCAGAACACAGTGAATGCTTTGTAATCTTTTTTTTTTAAGACTTATTTTTATTGGAAAGGCAAATTACACTGAGAGAAGGAGACAAAGATCTTTCATCTGCTGGTTCACTCCCCAAGTGACAATGTCTGAAGCTGAACTGCTCTGAAGCCAGGAGCTCAGAGCTTCTTGTGAGTCTCTCACATGGGTGCAGGGTCCCAAGGCCTTGGGCCATCCTTGACTGCTTTTCCAGCAGGGAGCTGGAAGGGAAGTTGAGCAGCCAGGACACCATGCAGTGCTGATATGGGATCCTGGTGTGTACAAGGTGAGAATTTAGCCAGTGAGTCATTATGCCTGGCCCAATCCTTTGTGCTTTTTAGACCAATTCTCAGACAAAACCTGTCGCATTTCTGGGAAGGGACTTTTTGCCCTGAGCAGCAGAAGTGGCCAAGAGGTTCCTCTGCCTTCCATCCTGTCCCTTCTGTGGGACTGAGTGCAGGTCAGGTGGCCTTTGGCGACTACAGGGTGGATGTGGTCTGGCCCTTTTCAGCTGTTTGAAGTCACGTTCCTTGCCTCAGGACTCTTCCTTCATGTTCAAAGTCAGCTAGAGCAGGGCTGTCCTGGGGCCGTCTCCCTGGTGCTCTACTTTGAAGGACTCATGTCGCCCTCCCTGGGGTACCTTAATGCTCTTCCCATGTTGAGGTCTTGGCCTTAATCACCTAAGAGGTCATCAAGGTCAAGGTGAAGGCTCACTGACACAGGGCTTAAGCCTTGAACAGCCCGAGCAGAGCCATTACTCAGCCCTATCACAGAAGGACACAAGTTTGAGTCCCTGATATTGATGAGGAACCACTGCTGGCTGTCTTGTAAAGCAGAGCATCCCTTACAGCTGGGATTAGCCTGTTATCTGAAGCCCAAAGCATTCCTAAATCCAATGAATGACAGCCGATATCCACACCCTCCCATCTGCCCCTCCTGTGCCCCTGCCAGGAACAGGTGCTGCAGGGCAGAAGGGAAGAGTTGAAAAGCCAAGTGAGGGACCATCTGTGGAGTAAGCAGAAGGCATTAACTCTTTGCCTGGATTATGCACCCCTCCAGGTAGTCAGAAATTGAGCCAGATGATTTTGATAGTGAGGGTAGGTTACTCAATCCAGGGGACCAAAATCTGTTAAAGCAAGGCACCTCCGCACTACACTTGGAAATTGCTGCCCCAGAAACCATGGGATGCCCCCCACATGAGGACACCTGAGTGGGGCTGTCAGACTCCCTTTAGGACAACTGCTGTGTTGGGGAAGCAGTTAACTCCTCTTCATGACTTTCCACGAGGAAGGGAAAATCAGAGTACCCTCTGCTGAAGCCTGTGAGAATTGAACTCATTTATTTGAATGACAGAGTTCCAAAGAGGAAGACACACACAGTTCTTTCATCTATTGGTTCACTCATATGATCACAACAGCAGGGGTTGGGCCCATCTGAATCTCCCACATGGCTGCAAGGGCCCAAAGATTTATGCCATCATCCTATGCCGATTTCCCAGGCTCATAAACAGGGAGCTGAATTGGAAGTATAGCCAGGATTTAAATTGGCACCTGTATAGGATGCCAGTGTCACAGGCAGTGGTTTTACCTACCGATGCCACAGGGCTGGCCTCAAAGGTATTGGAACTTTATAATTTTTTTTTCTTTTGCAGATTTTTATTGGGAAGTCAGAGGAGGAGAGACAGAGAGGAAGATCTTTCATCTGGTGATTCACTACCCAAGTGGCTGCAAGTGCTACGCTGTTCCAATACCAGGAGCCAGGAGGCTCTTTCAGGAATCCCATGCAGGTGCAGGGTCCCAAGGTTTTGGGCCATCTTCATCTGCTTTCCCAGGCCACAGGCAGGGAGCTAGATGGAAAGTGGGGCTGCCGAGATTAAAACTGATGCCCATATGGCGCATCAAGTCGAAGTGATGACCTGGCGCATTCAAGTCGAAGACTTTAGCTGCTAGGCTACCGTGCTGGTCCAGGTGTTGGAAACTTGAGGAGCATCAGAACAGACTTTGTTGGAGCAAAGAGGGCCCAGACCCGCTCCTTTGAACCTGCAGCCCTTTATGATAGACAAGAATATGGATTCTCATAGCAGTCCTAAAAGTAGCAACATGAAAAGTTGAGGCGAACAGTGGTGATGAGTTGGTGGGAACCAGCTTAGCATGTCCACTTCAGAACATTTCTGACCATCAGGTGGTTGGTAAAAGCTGTGGTCAAGTTTCAGGAAGGCCTGCCAGGGTCATCTGCTATTGAGGGCTCCACCTTCACATTACTACATTTATCAGGGATCAGTGAAAAGACAGCAGCCTCACTATTACTAGAAAGCTGCTCCATGTCCCTTCACTCTTCGTTAGCTCCAGTCAGAGGTCATACGGGGGAGTGGACAGACTGACCACATATTCCTGCTCGCAACAGAGGTCTGTGAGCACTCTGCGAGTAGGGGAACTTTGAAAGGACTGAAGCCTTAAGTTTGAATTGTCTTAGTGGTGACTCAGATGTTGTAGGCCTGTGCTGAGCTTCGTAACACACTTCCCAGGAAACTTTCACAGAAGACAACTGGCCTCTCTTCCCCACTTGTACAACACAGATGCAGCTTCATGTACACCTAGTTGGTTCAAAGCTTCCTCTGGATCACAAATACCTCTGCAAACCTGTAACTGTCACGCTAGCCCCTAGAAATTCAGACATTATTTTTTTTGTATTGTACTTTAGGTTTATTCCAGTGGGGCAGGAACAGGGATGGAGGTGGTGGGAAGGCAAGGAGGAAGGGGGCAGTGGAAGAAGACAGAGCCACACCTGCGGGCCTTTATGCCATACAGGTGAGCCTGCAAGGTGTGTGTGTGTGTGTGTGGGTCGGGATTGAGGGCAGGCCCCAGGGGACTGGTGCCTGAGACTGTCACAGATGATTGTCTAAGGATGATTGGAACTTCTGATTGCAAGACGTATGGCTCTTATCATTTTAGGATTTATTTTTTAAAGGGAGGCAGAGGTTGATTTCCATCTGCTGGTTCACTGCCCCCAAGTTTGTAAAAGCCAGTCCTGGCTCAAGCTGAAACCAGGAGTCTGAGATGCAATCCACCCATGTGGGTGGCAGGGACCAAGTGCTTGGCCATCACCTCCCAGGTGCACTATTATCAGGAAGTTAGAATCAGAAGTGTAGCTAGGACTCAAATCAAAGCACTTGAATATAGGACATGTCTTAGGCAATGTCTTGCCAAGCACCTGCCCCTTTAGGATTTTCTAAGGCTTCAGGTTGCTGCTCAGACTTAGTCTCATTTAGCAAACAAAACACTTGCTTAGTCTTCTACATCACTAAATATAGCCTGGGGTACAATCTGCAGGTATCATGTGCACAAGTGCTGGCTTCGGAGCTGAACAAAGGGATAAAAATCCAGAGGGGAAAACAACTACATCCACTGAAAAGGAAGTACCAGTAAGTGAACAAGAACAAAGGATTTTATTGTACTCCATACATTCATTCACAGGTCATTGGCAGATTTAGTTACAACACCATGTGCTGAGGTTGTGCACTCACTGAGCTGAGACCAAGCTGAAGGTGTGCAGCTGTCTCGGCCTTTGGTGCACCACTGCTAAGAATGTGGTTTGGCAATCTGTGGCCAGTACACGTGATGACTATAGTAGGGGCACAGGTTCACCACATCTTTACAGAATAACAAATTTCCATGCTGTTTCACAGGAGAGCTGTTCCACAGTGGAGGGCTCCTTATGCACGGTCTTGTCTGTCCTGACTACTGGCCCTCACATATACTTCCTGTTTGCAAAGTGGACTTTCGAGTAGCCCATCTGCTCTACAGACTAGCTCAGTATGTGCGGTCTGGAATTTACAACTTGTTTCTTCGGCGCAAGTGTACCTCAGACTGTGATTATCTGCCCCAGCTATGCAGGTACATGGTTCTCACAGTCTTGGCATGGCAGACACCAATGCAGCTACCCCAGGCCTTGCAGCCTCGGTGACCTGTGGGAAGCAGGGTTGTGAGCTATTGCATGGGGCATGTGTCAGCCTCCGCAGATTAGCAGCCATCAGGCTCTGTGTCCTGGGCTATGGATGTTCACAGGAGTCCCTGAAGCTCGGGGCAGCTCACACATCTACCTTCTCAGCGAAATTACTGCTCCCACCTCACAAATCCACTCTGCCTCTTTTACTGAAACCACAATATCATGTTTCACTCTAAAAGGCATTAAAAAGCAAGAAGCTCCTTCTTTTTCGTAATAAAGAACTTTCCCTCTTCTTGGCTGGTGCGCTACGCCTGCAATTAAAGAACAAAACCGCCAGCAGAGCAGAAGGTGCAGGCTGAAGAGCAGCTGTAAGACCCTGATCATTTTAACAGAACACTAACCCCAACAACCAGACCCCGCCTGCCCAAGGCCACCCTGCTTGTGAAGCAGGTCCCCCCAACTCACACCTCCTCCTCATCCCCGCCTTCGCCCGCCTGACAGGAAGTGAGGCCTTGCAAGCATAAACTCCGTTGGTTAACTCTTAGGAGGGAATATCCCAAGTGACAGGCTTTAGATGGCAGTCCTCTTCCAGAAAGTCCAAGTGATCCACAGGACACGTCATCTCTGTTCCCCTGAGAACACTGTCAATTCCATCAATACAAATTCACAGCAATACTTCAATCCCATATAGCTGAAAGCTGCATGGTTTTTAAGGAATATAAATCAACCAGAAAACTAGCTTTAAAAACCTGTTTTTCCTTGTGGATTTCAAGAGACTTTTAAGACATGGAATTCTCAATGCTTATACTTAAAC